GCCCAGAACGGTGGTTTCTTCCGCATGAACACCGGCGAGTGCTTGGGGAACGTGGTGAGCGACGGGCGGCTGGTGAGCAGTTCCGGGGGGCTGCAGAACGCGCAGTTCGGGATCCGCCGCGACGGGACCTTGGTCACCGGGTGAGGAGGTGGGGAGCCCCGTGGCTGTCAAGGGCAGAGGGTCTCCGGTATGCTTCGAGAGCCATGCCTCCGTGGCCAGATCACTTAACCAAGCTTCCTATTATTCAACTTAAGAGTGGGGACGCTGACAACTTCTTTGAAGTTTAGTCGTGTGTCATTGAACGCTTGCTCTGTGCTCAAGTCGTGTGTGGGGCCCTGGAGAGGCCACCGTGAACCTGGAGGCGCAGTTTGTGCCTCAGTGAACTTTCCCTAGGATTAGAGAAAACAAACGTTTCGTGTTCAGCGAAGCCTTGGAACCAACTGGAGATAATATAGAGTTTATAGACAAGACCCAGACAGCTTGCTGAAGGTCTTCCCGGATAGAAATCCTGGGTAGGCAAGTAGCTTGTCGAGTGGCGTCTTTGACAGTTTCTCTATCTCTTGAAATCTGACGGCAGGCAGGCAGGAGTAGAAGATTGCGCCATCTAGTGTCCCAGCTCTCTTGCAAGAGGTACAGTTTTTGTCAAGGCTGGAAAGTGGGGTTTCCCCAGCTCTTAGCAGCCCCTAGTTACCGTTTCTGGGCCTGCGCAGGCATCTAGTTCTTCATCCTTCAAGCGCAGCCAGCGCCACAACTGTTGGTCTTGGGTTGTCAACGACCCAAAAAGTTCTTCCAGTGACCAGGGCCTGCAGTTTCTCTTCTCTGGACCTCAGAACTTCATCCTCTCCACTGTCTCCCTTGTTCCTCTCTTGGGCTCCCCTTTCAGACTGGTCAGCTATCTTGTTGCTGTGGCCACTGTCTTAGTTACCCCTACTGGTCTTTTTATGGTCTGCTCAGCTAACCTCTTTTTTTTAGGGGGGGGGCATTGTGCATCTGTGTGGAGCCAAGTGAAGTCCAGAGTTTGATTTCAAGTGGCTTCTATTGTTCTCTGTCTTATTTGCTGATACGAGGTCTGAATCTGGAGCTCACTGATTAAATTAAATTGGTTGGCCAGCAAACACCAGCTGTTCTCTCGTGTTTCTCCTGTCCATCTCCCAGCATTTGGGTTACAGATGTGCGCTGCCTCACCCAGCTTTTACATAGGTGCTGGAGACCTAAACTCAGGTCCTCATGCTTGGGTGAAAAGGCTTTTACCGATTGATCTATTTTTCCAACTCATCATCCTACTTGTTAGCTGCCAAACAGCTGCCTCATCTGTCCATTTGTAGCTCAGTGCTACTTCTTTGTGTTATCAGGTCAGTACATGTTACTAAAGATGGCAGGAGAAGAAGCTTCTCTCATTGTGTCTAATGCAGTCGCATGGGGAAGGCAGCACAGGACAGCATCTTCCAGCTCACTCCCCAACTCAACTGAACACCTGCTTACATATCCAGAGAAGGGATATCTGTATCAACCACAGTACACCTCACAAGCAAATGAAGGCTTGCATTTGCACCAATCACAGCCTTGCCCTTTTAGCACCCATCACAGCAGTCCTGCTAGACTACCAGGGGATCTGCTCTCCCTCTGGCCTAGATAGGAATAGTTACAGGAAAACGTTTGGTACAAACTGTTTCCAACAGCCCTGGCTGAGGCTATGCCTTCAGGAGCATGAGCAAGCAGATGCAGTCTTTGTGTGACTGCCTTGAAGTGTCTGGAGCATTGTAGACTGCTGCTGCTGACATAAGACTGGTCTGGTTGGCTGTTTGATTTTTGCTTAAGCAGCCAGGGCAACAGAGTGTAACAGCTGCTAATTAGTGAATCAGTTAGGAAAATTACAGAAAACCCTGGAGCTGTTCCTGCCCATGAGTGAGCCTCTTGCCTCCCTACTTCCAGGTACCTATCTGAGGAGGAGGTTCTGGATTCTGTAAATCCATTCGTGCAGCTGCTGAGTGGAGTTGTGTGGCTCATCCGCAATGGAAGCATCTATATCAACGAGAGCCAAGTCACCGAGTGTGATGAGACGCAGGAGACAGGTCAGGAAGGGAGTCAGCTGTAGCACTTTCTTTTTTTGTTATAAAGTTTTTTATTTATTTACTTGGTGGGGGGAACGTGTCATAGTGTGTGGGGGAAGGTCAGAGGACAACTAGTTCTGTCCTTCCACCATGTGAGTCCTGGGTATTGAACTCAGTCTGCCAAGCGTGATGGAAGGCACATTTACCCACTGAGCCACCTTCCTCGCCCCAGCATTAGCTTTCTTGAGACCTAAGAACAGTGAGTAGGCTATACTTCAGTGTTCCCAAACATTTACTGAGCGCTATGGTGGGAGTCGTGGGAATTCAGTCTTACGTGGAATATATAAGAAGGAAAATACTTGGCAATAAGCTAGAAAGAATTGCCAAGTGCCAAGAAAGGGGCAGAGAGGAGGGAGATAAAGGGGACCGGTGGGAAACAGATGCACAGGTAAAGTGAGAAAAGTGCTGCAGGTTTCTGTTACAGTGACCTCCACGTAGCCTTGGAGCTTGTCATAAATGCAGACCCATGAGTCCACCACCTCAGACCTCCATTCAGGAACCACTGGTTAAGTTCTAACAACCTGAGTGTGCCTGCTCTTCCTTGGTGTTTCTGATGGATGCTTAAGTGTAAGAGCCACTTGGGTGTGGGCTAGTGACTTGACTTGGTCAGTAAAGTGTTTGCCTTGAAAGTGTGAGAACCTGAGTTCGAGCCTCAGAAAACACATAAAAAGCCAAGTGCTGCGGTGCACACTTGCAGTCCCTGGGATGGTGAGGTGGGAGGTGGAGACAGATGGATCCCTGAATAGCCAGATAACCTAACCCACATGGTGACATTCCAGGCTAGACCCTGGCTCAAACAGAAAGTGGAAGGCATCTAGTCAGATAACCTAGCCTACATGGTGATATTCCAGGCTAGACCCTGGCTCAAACAGAAAGTGGAAGGCATCTGAGGTTGTCCTCTGTCCCCCACAGGCATGTGCACATGCATGCACACCTCTACAGTTCAAAACGCTGGAGTGTGAGAGGGTGCTTGGGTCCTGAAGTCTCTGCTATTTCAGGGTGGAGAGTGGGGCAGGAGATGACTGAGGAGGCTGTCTGTGGATTAAGACCAAGCTGTCAGAAGAACTCAGGCCAGAGGCATACAGTTCCCAGCCAGAGTGCCCTAAAGCCAAGAGTAGCTGTTAGGGAAGGAGAACAACAGAAGTGAGGCCAGGGGCTTCATGCAAAGCCTGTGGGTTTTGTTCTACCAAAACAGAGGTTTCTATGGGGACTGAGAAAACTCACATGAAGAGTTTTCTGGCTGTGGCATGGAGGCTCACTGAAGGTGGAGCTGGGGTGTGGCTCAGTGATCCAGTACTTGCCTTGAATGGACAAGGTGCTGGGTTTCTTCCCCAGCACCATCAAAAGAGAGAAAGTTGAAGCACATAGACGGCTGGGTAACCAGCTAGGCCCCTTCTCCTTCAGGTTCTTTTAGCAAATTTGTGAACGTGATATCAGCCAGGACAGCCGTGGGTCATGACCGTAAGGGACAGCTCGTACTCTTCCATGCAGATGGACAGACGGAGCAGCGTGGGTGAGTCCCAAGATTCCTCAGGGATGTTTGCATTCAGTTTCCCCTCACCTTCCAACAGTTTCTGGGGTAGTGGGTGGAACAAGACAGCTTTGGGGCCATTTTAGAAGTTTCATCTACCCCAGTCAGAGTGATAGTATTTACCTTCTGACCAAAGGGAGACAGTTAAGCCAGAGCCCATGGGGCTCAGCTACACACCCCCTTCCACACAGCATCAACCTCTGGGAGATGGCAGAGTTCCTGCTGAAACAAGACGTGGTCAATGCCATCAACCTGGATGGAGGTGGTTCCGCCACCTTTGTGCTCAACGGGACCCTGGCCAGTTACCCCTCGGATCACTGGTAAGAGCACCTCAGCCACCTTTGAGGGGGAAGCCCTGGCTTACCTCCAACAATCTCACCCAGTCAATATTGAGACCCTGCTGTGCGCCAGGCCCTGGGTATCCTGTATGAGCAGAAGAGCCAAGAACTCTTTCCTCAGGGTGCCACATTGCCCACACCTGGGAATCTGGGACAGTAGTCAGGATAGTGAAGTAAGGCTGAGGAAATGGCTGGCCAACATTGAGGGAGCCTTCCACCAGAAAGCACAGTGTATGCAAAGGGAAGGCACTATAAGTGGCCCAACAAGAGGCTGGAGCTATCTGTCGTTCAGCAGGATTTGCCTTGCAAGCAGAGGACCTGAGTTCAAACCCCAGAATCCACATTAAAAAACCAGATGTGAGTGATGCATGCTTGCAGTCCCAGTGATGAGGAGGAAGAGACAGGTGAACCTGACACTTAGGCTAGGCAGCTTCACTTCCTTGGCAAGGTCCAGGCCAGAGAGAGATACATAACATAAATAAAATAAGAATTTAGATCATGGATACCTAAGGTTGTCCTGACTCCATTCGTCCATGCACATGTGTATCCCCTAGCGTGTGTGTGAGCATGCATACACATGCAGGAACACAAGTGTCAGAATGGAGATGGAAAGAGGCTGGAGCAGCCTTCATAGGCTGAAGCAGGGACTTAAGAGGTCAGCTGGCGCCAGCACCAAGGCCAAGACCTCTCCTCACAATGAATCCTCCACAGCCAGGACAACATGTGGCGCTGTCCCCGCCGGGTTTCCACCGTGGTATGTGTGCATGAACCCCACTGCCAGCCACCCAACTGCAGTGGCCATGGGACCTGTGTGGATGGCCATTGTGAATGCACCAGCCACTTTTGGCGGGGTGCCGCCTGCAGCGAGCTAGACTGTGGCCCCTCCAACTGCAGCCAGCATGGGCTGTGCACAGAGAGTGAGTGGGGAGCCCACAAGGAGGGTGGTGCTCTGAAGGGACCCCAGTTCTCTCAGGCCAGGTCTGCCTCTGCCCTCACCTGGCCTCCATGGTCTTGCTTTTGCAGCTGGCTGCCACTGTGATGCTGGATGGACAGGATCCAACTGCAGTGAAGGTGAGAGCTACCAGTGGCCTGAAGAGGCTCCTGGAGAGGGTGGCCTGGCTACATGCAGCTCGTACAAAGCCTTTGTCCCTCCTTCTGGCTTAGAAGTTGCGTTCAGGGCCTCTTCTCACTTCACATGCAAATCTCTTCATGTCCTCCCTGGATTTGCTGAAAAATTCCCACCAAGTACGAGGCCGGATTTCAGCACTGGCCACTCAATTCCAAAGACCAACAGCAAAACCAAGGTGTGGCCAGGGAGGTCCACCAAAGTCCTTAACACCCCGAAAGCAGCCCCTGATGTTCCTACACATGAGTAGTGTTACTCCATAGTCAGCCTCAGTGGACTTCCCATTTCTGTCCCTTCATTCTTTTATGGTTATCAACTCTGGAGCCCACCTTAAATCCAGGTGATATACTTGGTTTTTTTTTTTTATTTTTATTTTTATTTTTATTTTTTTTATTTTTATTTTTTTTATTTGAGACAGGGTCTTAATTCAGCCCAGGCTGTCCTATAATTCACTATGTAGCCAAGGATGTTCTCGAACACCTACCTCCTGCTTCCACCTCCCAAGTGCTAGGATTATAAACATGCTATCATGCCCAGCTCATAGGGTACTGGGAATCAAACCCAGGGCTCCGTGCACATCAATAAGCATTCTAGAAACTAAGCCACAACCCTGTTTACAACTGGGTTACCTTTGAGGGCTGTCCCCAGGGATCAGGGAGCATCTCTTTCATCATGGCCCTGCACACATCCAAGAGCCAGGCTATCCTATAACAAGAGACCCTGCTACCCAAGGTTAAACCTACCTGCCACCATTTCCTCTCCACAGAGTGTCCTCTGGGCTGGTATGGGCCAGGTTGCCAGAGGCCTTGTCAGTGTGAACACCAGTGTCCCTGCGACCCTCAGACTGGCAACTGCAGCATCTCCCAAGGTACATGGCCTCCTGGAACCCTTGGGGCAGGTCTGGGGTAGGCAGGCCCTCCCCAACCCTGCATCTTCTGTCTGGTATCTTACAGTGAAACAGTGTCTCCGGCCAACTGAGGCCACACCAAGGGCAGGAGAGATGGCCTTTTTTACCAGGTATGTGTTTCAGCAGAGGCAGAGCCCCCTCACCCCATCCATGAGGCTTGACATCTGTCCAGGCACTGGCCAGGCCAGAAGGTTACAGGTGAGCCTCTACTTTGTAAGCTCAGGGACAGTCACGGGTGAAACTGGCATCCAGGAGTGTGAGTGAAAAGGCCCACGCCACTGCCCAGTGGGAGTCAAAGGTGGTAAACTATGGGCTCAATCTCCCTAGCCATAGAGACTCAACTCAGATCCTGGAACTGAGCTGTAGAGACAGGACTTGCCTCACTTCTGAACTCTTCCATGTGTGCATGGTTTGTGGTTGCTGTTGCTCCCTTTCTGCTGCTTCCTGAGTCTCCAGCTCCATTCCCAGAGAGCTCATGGGGAGGACTGTGAAGCTGGGGATGTAGCTCAATCAGCAGATTGTTTGCCTGTCATGCAGAAAACTCTGAATCCAATCCCCAGCACTTCATAATCCAGGTGTGGTGACACATGCCTGTATTTCTAGCACTTGGGAGGTGGAGGCAGGAAGATCAGAAGTTTAAGGTCATCAGGAGTCTAAGGCCAACCCAGGTGGCATAAGACCCTAAATAAACAAACAGATTCTTGAGCTGGATCTTCTAGAATAAGCCTGTCATCCCAGCTACTCCGGGAGGCTGAAGCGGGAGGATAGCAAATTCAAGGTTAGCTTGAGCTACAGATTGAGTTCAAGACTGACCTAGGCAATTTAGTGAGACCCTGTTACAACATAAAAAGTAAAAAGGGGGCTGAGGTTGTAGCTCAGTGGTAGAGCATTTGCCTAGCATACACAAGGCTCTAGATTCAATTCCCAGTACTTCAAAAATTACATTAGTGATATCTGAAAAGCAGTAATGCTCACATTAAAAGTGTCTCTCTCTCTCTATCTCTCTCTCTCTCTCTCTCTCTCTCTCTCTCTCTCTCTCTCTCTGTGTGTGTGTGTGTGTGTGTGTGTGTGTGTGTGTGTGTGCAGGCAATGGTGGTACACACCTTTAGTTCCAACACTCAGGAGGCAGGGGCAGGCAGATCTCTTGAGTTTGGGGCCAGCCTGATCTACAGAGCAATTTTCAGGACAGCCATGGATACTGAGAAACCCTGTCTTGAAAAACACCAAAAAAAAAAAAATTGTGTGTGTGTGTGTGTGTGTGTGTGTGTATGTGTGTGTGTGTGTGTAAAGGCAGGCACATCTCCGAGCTTGAGGCTAGTCTAGTTTATAGAGCTCCAGGACAGCCAGGACTACACAGAGAAACAGTGTCTCAAAACAACAACAAAAACCTCGTAGGGGCTAGAGAAATGGCTCAATGGTTGAGAGCACTGGCTGTTCTTCCAGAAGATCTGGGTTCAATTCCTAGCACTCACTCACTTGGCAGCTCACAACTGTCTGTGACTCCAGTTCCAGGAAATCTGACACCCTCACACAGACAATGTATGCAGGCAAAACACCAATACACATAAAGTAAAGAAAGTTCCTGTGTTTTGTGTGTTTGCCTGTGCGTGCGCCCCAATCTTAAATTGTTATTCCTAGTATCTGTCCACCTTGTTTTTCATTGGCCTGAAACTTGCAGGTTAGGTTAGACTAGCTGACCTGTGAGCTCCACCTTCCAAGCAAGGCGATGACAGTATGCACCATTGTTCTTAGCTTTTAAGAAGTACCTTCTAGCTTGGCATTGGTGGTGTATGCCTTTAATCCCAGAACTCAGGAGGCAGAGGCAGGCTGATCTCTGTGAGTTTGAGGCCAGTCTGATCTACAGAGCAAGTTCCAGGACAGGCTTCAAAGCTATACAGAGAAACCCTGTCTCGAAAACAAGCAACAAAAAAGTACCTTCTAGTGATCAAACTTGGGTCTTCATGTTTATAAGACCAGCATAAGCTATTTCCTCAGTTCCTGAAATATTTTTAACATCTTTAAAACATCAGAGAATGTCTCTCTCATTTCCTACACGTGTCTGTGGTATGCCCACAGTCCCCACCCAGCCCTCTGGGCTCAGCATTCCCCCTTGTGGGTTCTAGCTGCCCCAAGGCTGCTTCTCAGCAACCCCCTCTCAAGTCTCCCTTCTATCCTAGGACCACGTGGCTGGCACTTACCCTCATCCTAGTTTTCCTGCTGCTGATCAGCATTGTGGTCAATGTGAACTTGCTCCTGGGCTCCAAGACAGAGAGGAACCGACACCTCGATGGGGACTATGTATACCACCCCCTGCAGGAGATGAATGGGGAACTGCTGGTTGCAGAGAAGGAGCAAACAGAAGACACTTGCAACCCCTTCAAGGACTGACAGACCTGGGCTGCCCAATGGCATGTTCCAAATAATGTCCCTGCTCCTCACTTTTATGGGGAAGGATGTGAGGCCACTGGCATGGATGCTGCACACTCCACTCCTTGCCTGGCCATGCCCCACCTGTCCCCAGGCTGTGGCACATGCCACCCCAAGCAATACAGAGCTCTGGAGAGCCTGCACCCGCTTCCCTGCCTGCCTGCCTGTGTCTGCTGCCCAGAAGCCTGTCTCCCACAGGGGTCTCACCACTGCCAAAGACTCCCAGGAGGCCACTAGCAAATGAAACTGTAGCCCAGTCATGACAAGAGTGGCCAACTCTCCTGGACCGCCTGCACAGGGGTAGAGTAGAAAGACTTCTGCCCTGGCCCAGCCACCTCTTATGCAGCCTCATTGCTGGATTGCCAACTATAATTCTGCCCTGTCACAGAAAGCTCCTCATAAGAAGGGATGGGGAGGGAAGGAAGTCGCCATGTTTACAAACCTTCTATTTTTGTTGTCCTTCTCCCTACCTAATACTTGAGTTTTCTAATACTTGAATAAATTGGTATACTAAAACAAGCCACCAGGGGGCATGTGAGGTCTGAGTCCTGGGCAGGGGCTCCTCACAAGGGCCTGAGCGGCTCCCAGTGCCTTCTGTTAACCAATGTTGCACAAATTTGGCCAGATACAAGGCTACCTGGGGACTATGTTAAGCCCGGGTTCTGTGTTCTGCAAGCTGCAGTCAATGTTATTGCTGCAGGCTAGGTTACACTTTGAAGGCAAGGATTTGATTGGCCCTAACCATTTTCCTTAGGTAGTTGTCCTAGTTACTTTTCTATTGCTGTGATGAAACATGACCCAGGCAACTTATCAAAGAAAGCATTTAATTTGACTTACATTTTCAGAGTGTTAGAATCCAGGATTGTGGAGCAAAGGAACAGCTGAGAGCACCTCCAAACTTACTGCCAGTGATACACCTCTTCCTCTTAAGGCCCCACCTCCTGATCCTACCCAAACAGTTCCACACACTGGGGATTCAAATGAACCTATGGGAGCCATTCTTACTCAAACCACCACATTCCAATCCCTGGTCCCCATAGGTTTGTGGCACTATCACAATGCAAAATGCACTTAATCCAACTTCAAAAGTCCCATACTATTCCACAGTCTCAACCCTGTTTCAAAGTCTTTTCTGAGACTCAAGGCACTCTATTGTAACCCCGTAAAATGAAAAAGCAAATTACATCGGTCCAATATACAATGGCACAGTATACACATTATCATTCCAAAAGTGAGGAAGCTTCCAAACTCCTTGTATATCCTTCATAGCTCCAAAGTCAGAACCAAATGGATGACACTGCCAAATCTGATTCCCTACTTGAGATGGAACCTGGTCCCCTTAAGTGACATTTGCAGAAACTTTCCTTTGTGGCTGCTTTTTAGCAGAAAATTTCTTAGCCTTTTTATAAGTTAGAAGCATAGCTGGCTGGGGTCTTGTCCTGGGACACTCCTCCCTGCCCCCCTTTATTCCACTTCTCATCAGGCCTCTCATCTCTTTCAGAACAAGTCTTGGCACCAACATTAAGTTTCCTGGTTTTCTTTTTCTCCTGTACATTTTGTATTGCTCTTTTTCATTCTAGACCTGCATAAGAGTGATTATTAATAACCAAACAACAGAGTCAACATTAGGCCATCTTGCAAGCTCCAACAAGCCAGGCAGTGCATACTTTTAACCCCAGCACTTGGGAGACAAAGATAGATGAATCTCTTGGTTCAAGGCCAGCCTAGTCTACACATTGAGTTACAGGACAGCCAGGGCTACATAGAAACCCTGTGGGGGGGGAGAGGCTTTGCTAAAATATTACATGTATGATCTCTGTCCAGTTTGTAATATCACTCTCTCCTGAAACCTCTTGAGCTAGGCCTTTGTAGTTCACATCGCTTTTAGCATTGCTGTCCTTCAAGCTCCATTGAGGATGGCCCATTAAGTCTTGTTTATAGCCAGTGGTGGCACACACCTTTGATCCCAGCACTTGGGAGGCAGAGGCAGGCAGATCTCTGTGAGTTTGAGATCAGCCTGGTCTACAAGAGCTAGTTCCAGGACAGCCTCCAAAGCCACAGAGAAACCCTGTCTCAAAAAACCAGAAAATAAAAAAAATGTCTTTTTATAGCATTTAACTATTTTTCTAATCCAAAGTCCCAGAGTCTTCTACATTCCTCCAAAAACAGCGTGGTCAGACCTATCACAGAAATAGCTCACTTCCTGGTACCTACTTTTGTCTTAGTTACTTTTCTATTGTTGTAATGAAACACATGACCCAGGAAACTTATAAAGAGTAAGTGTTTAATTTGGCTTATGGTTCAAGTTCAAGTCCATGATGCCAGAGGGAAGAAACAATTGAGAGATAACATCTTGATCCACAACCACCAGGCAAAGCGGAGAGAGATTGGGGGGGGGGGCGGTTGAAATTCAAAGACCATCCCAGTGCTACACACCCTCCAAGGTCACACCTCTTAAACCTTCCCCAGCATTTCCATCAACTGGAAACCAAGCATTAAAGCATGTGAGCCAATGGGGCCATTTCTCGGTGGTGGTGGTCTGTCTGGTTTGGTTTGGTTTTGTCAAGAGACAGGATCTCATGAAACTTAGGCCAGCCTCATACTTACTACATAGCTGAGGATGGCCTTGAACTCCTGATCCTTCTACCTCCACTTCCTGAGTTCCAGAAGTGCAGGCATGAAACACCACAGCCAGTTTATGGAATGCTGAGAATGGAACCCAGAATTTTGTGCATGACAGGTAAGCACTCTGTCAACTAAGCCACATCCACAACCACCCAATTGAAGTCAGTTGTCCATGTTTGAAGTCAGCACTCCAAATTCTTGGTTTCTCTTTAGAAGAGATCACACACATCCCTGCTGTCACTCAAGGTAGTTACTTGCTGTGACCAAGTAGTGACATTCTTCTCTTGACCTTGGTCTGGATGCCTTCCCCAACCTGCCAGCCCAGCAGCAGCTTCCCAAGTCTGTGTGTCTCCCCACACTTGTTACTTTAGTGCTGATATAACGCTGGAGAGAGACTTGTGAATCTTGTCATCTTCATTTACTTCCTGAGTAAATACCTCCTTCCCCTCCTTGGGAGAAGATGTTTCAATTTGGAGAAAATCATTACACAACACTGTTACTGTGCAACACTCCACTCCAAAAACCTACCAACCCAAACTTACTGTTTATTTTGAAAAATTACCATTTCTCACGATTCTAGCTGTATTCAGACTTTGCCAGTCTGGGTTAGGATCAGTGAGTTTAGACAAGAAGTTTTAGCATGTGTTGTTTTCTTGACACACAAAGGATGGACCCTGTGGTGACCATGCATGCCAGGCAAGTGCTCTCCCAGTGAGACACACCCCCGGCCCATTCAGTTGTTGCCACCAGTATCTAGCATCAGCTGAGGGCAGACTGAGACTGCCTAGCCTATGGTAGTGATTGCCAAGGTAGTCCAGCTTCATCCTCCAGGAGCCTGCCTCAGGCTGATGGTCAAGGTGGAGATAGATCTGAGAGAGGGAGGAAGGGTGGAAGAGCATAAAGCTCCCACTGATAATCTCACTTTGCTGTCCTCCAGTAGATAAAATACATAATCAGACCAGTCTAGGTTAAAGAGAGGAGATGCAGGCAGATGCATCTGAAGACACTGGGTTGGGTACCTTGGATCCACTTTGGCATACTCCTAAGAACAGTTCTCAAGCTTGGCTTCTGGTCAGAGTGTCTGCACTAGAATGCTCCACAACTGCAGCTTCCTGATTTACCTCAAGAGGAATCTTATGGGTGTAGGGAAAGGACCCTGAATCTAAAGAAAGTATGCCTGCCAGGGGCAGGGTGTCGTGGTAGCAGCTACCTAGTGTCCAACTAACCTGAAATGAGCTTCCCCTGAAAATAAGATGTCTTTTTGTTCTTCCAAGCACTGGCAGCTAAGTTTGGCAAGTGGCAGAACTTGGTAGATGCAGATCCAGGGAACACAGGTGGGCATGGAAAGGGTCTGTCATGGCATCCTCTGGGATCCTATTAAAATGACTTGAGTAAACTAAGCTTCGTGAACTCCCTATGGCCCTGCAGAATATTTTTTTTAATTTGCCCAAGAGTCTGTCTTTGTCTACCCAACATCTAGTCCTTCTTTCAAATTTTGTTTTGTGGAGACAAAGTCTGTTCAAGGATTGGGGGACCTTTCAGGATCAGTACAGGACACACCCCATACACCAAATTCTCAGCACAAAGGAGATTTATTACACATAGGGACAAGCAAGGATTGAGGGAAGCTGCCTGTAGATTGGGCAAAGGCAGACGACAAGCAGAAGGGGTTTTTGCAAGAGTGGATTTTTAAGGAGAAAGGGGGAAGTCTGTGCTAAGATGGGTTGGTAAGACCTGATTGGACAGGTCAGGCAGTGTAGCCAAATAATGGGTTTTGATTGCTGGACCTTAGTGTTGAGTCTCAGGAATGAGTCAGTGGCCAAATAAGAGAACAGATCTTAGAGCTAGCTTTAGGAATGTAATCTAATAGTTTAGCAAAGGCGAGGAAAGGACAAACCTATCTTCAGTGCTTGGGCCTGTTAGAGCCCTTCATTCTGGCTGGACTAGAAATTGTAGTGTAGCCCAGGCTGTCTTTGATTTTGCAATGTTCTCCTTCTTAATTAATTACTAAGCCTGGCTTTTTGTCTGTTTATTTTTGAGACAGCATCCTGATATATAGCCCAAGCTGGCTTCAAACTCAGGATCCTCTTGCCTCAGCTTCCCAAGTGCTAGGATTCTAGTTGTGTACCACCATCCCTGGCTCAGTCCTATTTCTTCTCAACCCAGTCCTGTGTAGCTGGCCCACCCCAGAAGGACCTAGAAAAGTGGTTTATGTAGGAGGTGCCCCCAGAAAGTGCTGGTAGGGGACAAAAGGGGAGGTATCCTGTCATAAGAGGACATTGGCACTGCCCAAGGCTAATTTATATATTTAAAAGCCTGATATAGAAATTAAACATATTTGTGTGTGTCCTGGTTCATATTAGATTCTCAAAGGAGTTCATGTCTTCGGAAAAATCTGGAATCCAGGAAACAGCTCAAGGGTTTCACATTATGTTCCCCGGGAAACATCTTGGTTGGTCCAGCAGGATCTGGAACAGCAGAGGAGTAGTCAGCCCTAGCTATCTCTGTCTCTCTGTCAACCACCTTCACCTCCTGGCAGCTGTGCCTCCTGCCACCAAGGCCTTGCCCAAACTCCCACAATGGCTGCTTCTGCCAAGACAGTACCCTGATGTCCCAGAAGTAGCACCCCAGAGCAGCTCTGGGCAACTGGGAGACTGGGGCAGGTTTTGCCCTCTCTGGCCCAGGATCCCAGAGGAGGCCTCAGGGGAGGGTTGAGAGCTGAAGCAAACGTCAGCAGGGCCAGCAGCTCAGCCCTGAGCACAGCCCCGAGCCCAGCCTACGCCCTCCCCCAAGCCCAGCCTACTCCCTCTTGGGAGTTGTCTTCCTCTAGAACACATTGCTCCGTGGCTGCAGAGAAATCCATGGGAGAACAGCAGTGAATGAATGAGTGAATGAGTGGGTGAATGAATGATGGAGTGACTGAGTGAATAAGTCAATGAGTGATGGCACGTACTGGTAGCAGGTGGGGACTGTCCTCCTCGATTAGATGCTGTTGCTGAGTTCTAGGACATCACACAGGGGAAGGAGTCATCCTCTGCTCTTCCACGAGACAGCTCCAGCGCCACGGTGTTCCACACAGTAACCACCACCCCTGCTCTGAGCCATGAGGGGACGAGGCTGAACCTTGGGTAGGGCCCTCACACTTTTCTGAGGCAGAAAGATCAGCTGCAACTAGACTCTCAGAAAAACCAGCTGAAAAATTCTTGGGTTTGGGTCTTTTTGTTGTTGTTTTTATTTCTTGTTTGGTCATTTGTTTGTTCGTTTGTTTGAAACAGGGTCTCACCTTGCAGCCTGAGCTGGCATGGAACTCACTAAACAGACCAGACTGGCCTCAAATGTGTGGAGATGCTCCTGCCTCCACCTCCCAAGAGCTGGGGTTACAGGTATGCCCCACCACACATGGCTACAGATGAGAAGTTCTGGAACTAACCCAGGACAGGCACCAGGGTTCTAGGAAGTGGACAGCAGATGATATCCAAATGTATATGTTTAATGCTTCTGTCAAACCCTAGGATCAAGCAGACACCCTGTCTCCAGAAGTCAGCTCACTGAGAAGGAAGATGTGGTTGTTGCTGACCAATTAGTTTTCCAGAGTTATGGATAAAAGTCCAGGGATTCCAGGATAGAAAAACACCACTTCAAACCCCCTGATCTCAACAGTCCTCTCCCTGAGCATACCCAGACATACTAAGTATTTTCTGTTTGTGGAGCCTTGCCAGCCACGTTCTCATCTGTCCCTCTGTAACCTGGTGAGGTAGGCACTGCCATTCCCATTTTACAGATGAGGTAACTGAGGCACAGAGAAGTCAAGTCATCTGTACAAGGTTTCACAGTGAGTGAAAGAAAGGCTAGGGTTTCAAGACCGTAGTCTATTGGTGTAGGACACTCTGATCTGGCCACCATAGGCCAATGAACAAAGTGGAGAAAGAAACCGATAACATGTGGTTGTCTGCCCTGGGGTAAAGGAAAGGTCGGAGCCTGGCAGGCCCTCCTGGGGGGACACTTTGTGCATGTGTGTGTTATATGTATGTACATATGTGGCCGCTGGAGATTGACATGTCTCTACATTTGCTCTCCACCTTACTTTTTTCAGACAGGGTCTCTCCTTGAGTCTGGAGCTCAGTAATTCAGCTACACAGAGTGGTCAGTGAGTGCCATTTATCTTCCTGTCTGTCCACTCAGCACTGGGATTGCAGGTATGCATCGCTGCAGCAGGCTTTTTACATGGCTGCTGCGATCCAAACTGAGGTCCTCATGCTTGTGCAGCAGCCATTTAGCCAGCTGAGTCACCTCCCAAGCACCCGTGGGCTATTTTTAATTGCTGACTTTCCTGAGTGCCAATGTAGGAGGACAAAATGGATGCCACCACAGCCATCTGCTGGTGCTATGACCCAGCTTTCCTCCGGAGGGATTTCTTAGTCCCCAGCCTCCGCTGGTCTGGGAATGCTTGGGCAAGGATTATGTGTGACTTGAGCAGGGCCAGTCAGAGTCTTTTGGGAGGTTGTAGTTAGAGACTATCTTTCTCTTAGACACTGGGAACCCTGTGAGTACAGGCTTGGAGCTGCCTCTCAGCAAGGAGAGGACATGAGGCAAATGTGCAGCCATACCTGCCGGAAAAGACCAAGGGATTCTTCTTATTCAAATCGGTTTTCTCCTGGGGGGTGGGGAGAGGCAAAGCCTTTCAAGACCCCTGTTGCTCTCTGTTCGTCACTGTGTCTGGAGGCTAAATGTGTAAAGGCCACCAGACAGCTTCTCCCCAAAGCACTTCTAGGGTAAAGCTTTGGTTTTTGAGTCAAGTTAGAAGCTCATTTAAAGATCGCTGATATGGGCTGGGATTGAGTCGAGGTGGTAGGGTGCTTGCCCAGCATGTATGAAGCCCCAGGCTCAGCTCCCAGCACTGCAAACAATAGATGTAGAGGCACACACCGGTAATTTTAGAGGCAGAAGCAGAAGGACCAGGAGTTTAAGGTCATCCTTAGCCTTACAGGAGTTCAAGACTGGGGTACAAGAAACCATGTAAAAAAAAAAAAAAAAAAAAGCAACCATCACAGAAATGGGCCTACATGTGGCTCAGGGGTAGAGTGATTGCCTAGCATGATCAAGGCCCAAGTTTGGACCTCAGCACTGCAATAACAGCAAATAATTAACAACAATAATAATCAAAATAATAAAGATCATTGAAAATATCACCAATTGCTCTTGGTGATTTGGAGATAACTGGTGTCTCTCTGGGAGATACACACACACACACACACACACACACACACACACACACACACACATGAATTAATTTATTGCTATTCCTAAAGAACAGAACAGAACAAGGAAGAATCTGGTCAGGCTTTCCATCAATGGAAGGTTCTCCCTTCAAGGTTCTGTTTCCTACTGCTCTGGATTTGGGGTGGGTGCCAGCATGAAGTCCATGCTTGCTCACCTGGCCCCCCAGCCAGAAACCACCCCTTAGCCTAGTGAGCTGTAGAAATGACCCTGACTCTAAGCAAGGCTGACAGAGAAGAGCAATGAGGAGCTTCTGGCCCAGGTTGGTTCTGAGGCCGTGCACAGATCAGATCTTCCATTAGGTGGAACCTGGGGCAGTGGTGTAGGTCAGTGCTGGTTGGTGGAGGTGGAAAACAGTGTGGACTAAGGAAAACTGCATCTGAATCCTGATGTCTATATGCTGTGCCTCAAGTTTCAAGCCACACTGTAGGCAAAACACAAAAACACCAAAGGGAGGCTGCAACTAGCCAGAGGTCAATAAACAGTGATCTCACCTTCTGCAGATCCTGGAAATGGAAAGAACAAGCCCTTGGTCTCCAAGAAGACCCACTACTCCCATGGAGTATCTGGGAAAGTGGTATCAATCTTGGAGTTCCTGAGTCAGAGCAACTCCAGGACAGGGACAACCATCTCCACCCCCAGGGGATGCCTAGCACCATGTTGAGATGGGATCCAACTAAGCTCTCCTGGGCTGACCAGAAGTGTCCTGTCACTCAGAGATAAGAGTTTTCAGTTTTTAAAAAATCATAAAGGAGAAGCGCCTCAGGAAGAAAAGAGACTCTGGAGGGGAACAAGAACAGCTGGAGTCACCCCATCACCCCATCACTGCCTGGAGCTAGGCAGAAGCCCTGGGTGGAACTATGTTCCTCAAGTCAAGGTTAAGTGCTCCACAATCTAGAAAGCAGAAATACAGCCCATAGCAGGTGGTTTCCTGTAGGAAGTGGAGCCCCAACTCCCCATCACAGCTCCTTGGACAGTACTCAGCCACAAACAAATGACCAGGTGCTAAGGTGACCATCTCCCCAGCCACCTGTGCCCCAGTAATCCTTCAGCCCACCTTGCCCTTCCCAGACCATGTGATTGGCCCCAGAAATGTTCCTGTAATCCAAACTGGCCAATAACTGCACTGCATTCTATCCCCAAACCACAGTTATTGGTCCAGATAAGACCGTGCTGGCAATCAAGTGCCCTTCACACTCCCTGATGACTGATTGGCTCAGAACGGACCCAGGCACCTGCAAGCCAAGTGGTCTGAAACCTTGACAAGGGATGTTCCCTTCTGCACTCTCCTGGGAGATGGAGGAGGGCACCAAACAGTGATGATCCCTTGGTAGAAAAGTCCTCCCTGAGGAAAGAGCCATCCTATTGGAAGCACAGTAATTGAGACACAACCCAGTCTCAGTCAGTCCCAGCCCTAGACTCCAGATCCAGGGCATAAGAGATGGAGCATCCATGAGGTCTCAGCATTTAAAAGAAAGTCAAAGTATAGTGTCAGTCCTTGTCCCCTCAAGGGTGGTGAAGTAAGGCTCCCTCTGCACACAGGCAGAGAGCTGGATCTCTGCTGTAGGGTCCCCACACCCCAGCTGTGGCATCGTCTGTATCCAGCACAGTCCCAGGTGTCTGGACTGGCTCTTTTCATCCTGGACACTGCCCGATACCAGAAGCACTCGAACTGCCAGAAGGTTCCCAGCCAGCTATCTGGACACCACTGAGCCACTGTGGGACTGGCCAGAGGAGGAAGAAGTGGTTGCGCTGAGCTGAGAGAAGCGGCTGGTGCAGGATTCCAGGCTGGACATGGAGCCCCTGGGGAAGAAGCATGTGTACACCTTAAGTTATCTCCCAGGCAAAAGCTGTTAATACTGCAAATGAGGCCCAGGGCTCCTTCCTCAAGACTGCTAAACTCCAGGGACTAACCAATGCAGAGGGGAAAGCCAGTGATGCCATAACAAGCAGAGGAGCTACCAGCTCCCTGCACCTGGTTCCCAGGGACCAGTCAAGCCTGGGGCAGACAGGAGCTGCACTGACTAGAATGGAGCAGAAAAACACACAGCCTGGGAATAATACAGCACAAGTCTGTAAACCCAGCACTCAAGAGGATGATTGTGAGTCCCAAGCCAGCCTGGGCTACCAAGATGCACCTTCTGTCCAATTAGCCCCACTCTAGATATCAGAGCAGAGCAGGCCAGAAAGACTTTCTAGATTCTTTTGATTTTCTGAGGTAGCTTCTTATTATGTAGCCCACGCTGAACTCAAATTTGGGATCCTCCTGTCTCAGCCTCTTAAGTGCTACCACATAGCTACATTCATTCTTTACAAGTGAAATAAAAGGGGATGGGCATAGTTCCATTAGTAAAGTGCTTGTCTGGCATGCATGAAACTTGGGGTTTGATTCCCAGTAACACATAAAGCCAGGGATGGGGGTGCACATATGTGGTCCCAACACTTAGCAGGCAAGAGGATCAGGAGCTCAAGACCTTCCTCAGCCACATAACGAGTTCAAGGCCAACCTATATTTCATGAGACTCTGACTCAAAACTAATGAAAAATTAAGATTAAATGTGAAAAGGAGGAAGAAATTAAAGACATTGCCTTCCCCACCTCCAGGCTGCCTGCTGAATTCCTAGAGAAGGCTATTGATGTCCACCCAGGAGAAATGACCCCAGGCCACTGCATAGTCAGTCAACAATCACAGAAGCAGCCATGTCTCCAGAGCAGGTGGGAGTCCCAGGCCTCCCCCCCCTACCTAAAGTCTTCAGATGCCAGCACTTCACAGTAGTACAGCAGCTTGCTCTTGGGGCCAGGGCTGTGCAGAGCTGTCAGGACATCACCCACACCTGGAAGGCTGCAGGCCACACTCTCAGAGGGACTGTGAATCTGCCACTGGAGCAGGTAGGTACCAGGCCACTGAGTCACATGGGAACCCTGAAACACAGAACCCACAGTAAGACCAGGTCCTCCTGGGGAAGAGATGGAGAGATGGGTTCCCCTGGAAACAACATGGGGAGTTGAGTCCCTCTGGGGACAGTTTGGGGAGCTGCATCCTACTGGAGATGATTTAGGGCATGGGTCTTCCTGATGCTATGTGGGGCTGGGTCCTCCTGAGGACAAGATGGGGCACTGGGTTCTCCTGGAGACAGGATGGGAGGTTGAGCCTTCGTGGATTTTCTGTAACCAGGCTTGGGAAAGGAGACTCTTTCTATTTGGTCTTTTCCAATATCCCAGGAAATCCTTTATAAGTGTTTGCTTTCCAAAGCCTCCTTGTGGTGACTGCCATACCCAGGGATCAGAGCTTCCTGCATAATGTAGGGGAGTAGACACTAGGGTGTAGGGATGCAGGGCAGCAGATGGGTTTGTGGGATGCTGTCTCTGCTGATGAGGTGAAGTCTGCAATCCAACGGCTTCTGAGAAACTGCTAAGAGGATGTTAGGGAGAATGTGTGGCTGGGCAGGGAGGGGGAAGTGGGAAGGTTAGAGGGGGCAGCTCTGAGGAAACACTATGGGAGTGTTCAGTGGGATGGTGGGAAGCTAGCTGTGACCTGCAAGAGTCATTTGTTCCATGGAATCTTTGGTAAGGTCCATGACGCTCATGGAGCCAGAGGACTCTCACTGTGTGTGTGTCTGTGTGTGTGTCTGTGTGTGTGTGTGTGTGTGTGTGTGTGTGTGTGTGTTGTATCTGTGTGCATATATGTGCATGTGTGTTTATGTGTAAATGTATATATATATATATATATATATATATATATGTATATATATATATATATATATATATATATATGTGTGTGTGCAAATGTGTGTATGTATATGTGTATGATTGAGAGAGAGAAAAAGTGTGTGTGTGTGTGTGTGTGTGTGTGTGTGCGTGTGTGTGTGTGTGTGTGTGTGTGTGTGTGTAAGGGTATAACATTCCATTGGTAACACTGGCTCATGGGAGAATTACGAGAACAAGCAAGGTAACTTACATCCCAGTTACACATCCATGTTCTTGGCCATAGACCCATGGATTCTCAGTTACCATGCAAACCTTTGTGCCAGAGTCATAGGGGGCAGGAGATGTGGACTCCCAGCCCTACATTCAGAACTTCATAGTGGGGCTGTTTGGGGGGATTCTGAGGCCAGGGTCTTAAGGTGCTAGATCTGGCTGCTGATGTCAGGGCCTCACCACTTGCCCTCCTGTGCAGACTTCCTCTGGTTCCAAAACTCACCCCAGCCCCATGACATCTCCAGCTTCTTTCCCCAGCTTGGTTCTTGCCATCCCTTCCACCTGGGACATCACCTCCACCTCTCCCAGCCCCGGCCATCCTGAAGGCCCTCTTCTGTAATGAACTCATATGGGGAAGTGGGACTTGGGGTCCCAAAGCCCCATCCTCCACCCACCATGAGGTGATGACATGGGCTGGACAGTGTCCCCCCAAATCCACGTCTACCAAGACCCTCAGAAAGATGACCTTTTTGGATACTTCTCCCATTTTTCAGCTAAGGAATTAGGGTCAATCCTAAACACAAATACTGCTATCCTTATAGGAGAAAGGGGAGGGGACTTGAGGCACAGAACAAAGACATGGAGGACAGAGCCATAGGAGGCAAGGATGGGGACTGAAGTTATGTGTCCACAAGCCAGGGACCCACTAAAGGGGCAAGAAAGAACCCTTCCTCAAACTTTTAGGGAACCCCTGCAGGCTCCTTGACTCTAGACCTGTAGCTTCCTGAATTTGAAGACAAGAAATTTTGTTTGATTTAAATGGCACAGTGGTAGTCATTTGGGGCGCCCCACGTGCATGTTTGTGCTTGTACATGAGTGTGTATATGTGTGTCCACACCTGGCTTTTTCTCCACCTGGGTTCTGAGGATCAAACACAGGTCATTGTGTTTACAAGAAAGACAGCACTTGACTGCCTGAGCTATGGCCCCAGTCTCACTTAAGCCATTTGGGCCCTTTAATGATTTCTTTTCCTCCTGGAGATACTGAGGCTCCAAGACCTCCCCAGGACTCCAGTTGCCTCTTAGTTTAGTACCCAATCCTCCCTCCATGTTGCCTTCTGAAGTGGAGGGGGAACCTCCTATTACACAGACACTGTGGGCCTCTCTCCCCAATCACCCTGCAGGGTGCCAGAGACTGGGAGCACATCCTCTTTGTCCACAGCAGTCCCCCAGAGACCTGGCCTGGGAGAGTTGCTTGATACCCGATGCTGAGTTAGTAACCAAAGTCCACACCTACATACCTGAATGCTCTGACCTTCCCGGCAGATGAGGGGCACCTCTACACGGCTGTAATCTGCCCCGAGGACCCAGCTCTTGTCAATCAGCTGCCCACTGGCTCTAACTCCAGGCTCCTGGGGACTGAGCTTGAGTGCCTGCTTTACATGATACAAACTGAACACCACATCTCCTCGAAGGATGTCAAAGTCCCAGGTGATAACAGACTCTCCTTCTGGAATCTCCATGGCTACCTGCATAAGGGGAGCAGAGGTGAAGGAGTCCCAGGGTCAGGGTGTTCTTCTCTGGTCGTCTATTGATCTCCCTGTGGTCAGGATGAGCTGCTAAGACTACACCACTATCCCCTCCTCCAAGAACCCCGCCTCTCTGAAAGGCCTGGTCACTTGGGGTAAACTGCAGGTGCTGGGTGTGTAAGGGCACCCAGGGATTCTGTACCCACCCCATGTCCCAAGGCTTCTTGAATAAAGCTGAAACTGAGTGACTGGAAATACCCCATACCCAATCTAAAGGAATATGATTCAAGACACCACCCCACCCATGCCCTCTCAGACCAGGCGGCCCCAAGTGGCACCTCATGGGGGGTCCCGTGGAACACGCTAGCTGCATGGTAGGTTTCACTCCACTGCCGAAGCTGGTCAGCCTGCTCCTGCTCCTCTTCAGTCAGATACAGGGACTTGGGGACCAGGCCTCCTTCTGGAACATTACACTGAAGGGAGGTTTCAAACACTAAAAAGGTTGGCATGTCAGGGTTGCCTCATTAGGTGCCCTGTGAGCACTGAAACCACTTAGTGACCCCTATTGAGTTGGGCAGTGGCTCCTGTGACACCGTCCTCTGAAGCCCTCAGAACCGATAGCAGGGTAAGATACACTCTTCTCATTTCATGATAGAGGGAAAATGGGGCCTTGGAAGAGGCCAGACTGCTTTCCCAAGATCACACAAAAGAACATGGCTGACAGGCACAAAACTATGTTTGAGTCAAGTGTGATGGTATATGTCTATAACGCCAGCATTCAGGAAGTTGAGGAAGGGGGACCCCAAGTTCTGGGCCAGCCTGGGCTAAACAGTGAGACCCTTCTCAAAAGCAAAACAAACAGGATCTAGTGATACAACTAACAGCACTTGTCAACAAGTCTGAACCTGAGTTCCATCCTCGGAACCACATGTTGAGGGAGAGACTGGTTCCTGCAGGCCTTGCTCTAACCTCCACATGCCCGATGTGGTATTTGTGTGTCAACACACACACACACACACACACACACACACACACACACACACACACACACACAATGAGAGAGAGAGAGAGAGAGAGAGAGAGAGAGAGGACCCATTCACTCCTAGCGCTTTCCATGGTGTCTGACTAGGTATGGTTCCCTCTTCTGTAATATACTCAAAGTGGGGGCAGCATCTTTCCTTCAGCAATGGGAACTGACCAGTACCGGGTCTGTCTAGTTCTTTAGATGTCTCCCAGGCAAAGATGCCTGGGATGGCCAAGCCTCAGACCCAAGGCATCGACACACAACAATTTTCCATGTTTCATTTTGAAAACAAAAGGGGAGAGAGGATAACAGGGCCCAGTCTTTGTCCACTGTCCTTCAGTAAGTCCCTGAGAGATCTGTAGGCCTGTCACTCAAGAAGAAACCATACATCTGTATCACAAGAGTGGCGCACAGTCAGGCCGAACAGAGTTCCTAAGAAAACTATTTTACTGACAAGTGGCTTGCTGCCTGGTGTCTGTACTGGGGGACTGACAGGTGTGTTCACAGATGGCCATGAGAATGAGAACAGGACCAGGATTGCGCTCCCAGGTGGTGTAAGAGAGTCTGGATACTGCATTCCCTGTGCATTGTAGGTAGAATGGCCATGGGGCCTGGCTCATTTATTTACTAATTTTTAAAAAGATGAGTTTATTTATTTAATGTGTGTGTGTGTGTGTGTGTGTGTGTGTGTGTGTGTGTGTGTGTGTGTATTAATGTACATGTCACACGTGTGGGAGGAGGCAAAAGAGGGTATTGGGCATCCCCTATCACACTGTCTACTCCTTTGAAACAGGGTCTCTCCCTGAACCTAGGACCCAATTCTCTTGGTAAGGCTAGAAGCCAGCAAGCCACCTCTGGCCTCTGACCTCCTGTCTGCCTGCCCTGGATTTGTGACATTTGTGAATTCCTGCCTTACTACATGAGTAGTGGAATCCAAATCCCAGTCCTTATAATTGCACAGCAACTACTCTTTTTGAAATTTTTGAACATTTATTTTATGTGTATGGGTGTTTTGCTTGCATATTTGTGTATGTACCACATGTAGGGGGTGCCTATGGAGGTCAGTAGAGGCCATTGGATCCCCTGGGACTGGATTTATAGCTGGATGTGAGCCCTCTTGTGGGTGCTGGGAATCAAATTCATGTCCTGTGGAAAAGCAGCCAGTGCCCTTAGCTGCTGAACCATCTCTTCAGCCTCAACAAGTACTCCTAAATGCCACACCACCCCTCTAGCCCTCGCTGCCTTTGAAAGAACCAAAGGAAAGCCCCACCTCAAGAGATGTCACCTCTGTAGGGAAGCTTCTTCAACCAGCCCTGTCCCCACTTGAGAGTAAGGGGGATCCCCTAAGGTGAGAGTAAGGGGATTCCCAAAGGTGCTCTTCATCAGCTTCCTGACCCCAGGAGTCTGGGTTCCCAGGACCAGCAGCCAGACTCACCACACTTTCTCCTCCCAGGAAGTCAGGGATCACAGCCTTGTCCAAGTAGTCCACCAGGCCGCCAGGGCCCTGGTAATTGCTGCCACTATAGATAAGGAACTTCCTCCTGGTATTTTCATTGATGAAAGGGCTGACCTGGGGGCAGAACAAGGGCCAGTTATAGAGCAAAGAATTGGAATCAGGACTTTACTGGCTGGTTTTATTTCATTTTGTTTCTGGTTTGGTTGTGTTTATTTTTATTTTATTTTTTGGTTTTGGGATTTTTGCTTTGTTTTAAGAAGGGTTTCACTCTGTGGCTCAGACTGGCATCAAACTGGGGTTCTTTCTGCCTTGGCCTTTTGGATGCTGGGACTACAGGTATGCACCACCAGACCTAGCTCAGAATTGATCTTTTTAAAAACATTTTTCATATATACTTATTTATTTTGGTGTAGGCATTTGTGGAAGTCAGAGGACATCTTTTGGGAGTTCTTTTTCTTCTCTGGAGTATGTCCAGGGGACTGAACTGAGGTGGTCAGGCTTGGCCACAAGCAGTCTTCCCTGCTGAGCCCTGTCACCTGCCCCAACTTAATTCCAAGCACAGCATAAGCTAGGCATGGTGGTACAGGCCCATAATCTCAACACTCTTGATGATAGAAACAGGAGGATTAGAAGTTCAAGGTTATCCTTGGGTGAGTAGTGAATTTAGGCTACCATGGGCTAAATGAAAATCCTAGCTTTAAAAAAGGAAACATACCAAAACTACAAAAGTTGAGCTTGTGTGTGTTTATACAACTCCTTTGGAGTTGAACAAGATCGAAAACTTAAAGGAAATCATATAAATATAAAATATAGCCATTTTAGAACTGGAGAGATGGCTCAGTAGTTAAGAGTACTGGCTGCTCTTTCAGAGAACACAGGTTCAATGCCCAGTACCCACATTGGAGTCCACAACTGTCTGTAGCTCCAGTTCCAGGGGATCTGACACCCTCACACAGACACACATGCAGGCAAAACACCAATGTATATAAAATAAATCATTAAAAATTATATATGTATGTATATACTTATTTTGTGTCAAGAAAGTACTATTAAGTGAAAAAGACATCCTGGTGAAAAATATGTTAATCTAAGCTAACAATCATCAGGAAGTTTTATCTGCTGAATCCTGCTACCAGTCCTGACTTGATTTTTTTTTCTTTTTTCTTTCTTCTTTTTTTTTTTTTTTTTTTTTTTTTTGAGACAGAGTCTCACTATGTAAACCTGGCTGTCCTGAAACTCAATATATAGATCTGACTGGCCTAGAACTCACAGAAATGCTCCTGCCTCTGCCTCCTGAATGGACATGGCTCAGTCAGTGAAGTGCTTGTCACACAAGCACAAGGAGCTGAATTTGGATCTCCAGAACACACGCGTTTAAAAAAAAAAAATCAGGGTTTGGTGGCACCCATTTGTAAACCCAGTGCTTGGGATTGAGGTGGGGCAGTGATAGATGAATCCCTGGGACTCTCTGGCCAGCTAACCTAGCCTAATGAGTGAGCTCCAGGTTCGGTGAGAGTCCCTGTCTCAAAAACTAAAGTGGAGAGCTCTGATGAAGGACACCCAAGTATGACCTCTGACTGCCACACAAATGTACATATGTGCACATGCACCTGACATATATGTATGCCCGCGTGAATACACACCTATGAACAAAAGCATAAAATAGAAAGTGTAGGCTTCACAGGCTTTTGTGACATTCATCATGTCATAAAACCCCTACCATAATCCAGTTATATTTCCATCGTTCAGGATCATTCAGGTGGAGGATTCACCCACCCGCTGTGCGGCCCCACTCCGGCTCACCAGCGTCCACAGCACAGGGAATACGCGGGGTGCACGCACGATGAGAAGCCGGCCCAGGGTCTCAGGGTAGTTGTCCTCCACCACCTCGATCATCCGCAGCAGGGCCTTCACCCCTGGCCGCCACAGATGCCGCATGTTGAGGCCCTCCAGGTCCAGTAGGCAGGTCCAGGAGCTGTGACAGACACAGGACCTCGGGCTCTACCTGGCTCTGACGCCTCCCAGGACCTCCAGCACTGCCCCCAACTCCCACCCTAGGCACCTGGGATGGAGCAAAAGGGTTCAAGAAGGCAGGGCTGGTAGCAGGGACACAGGACACTTCCACAGTCCCTATAGGTTACTCAGCCCAGGAATGGAAGTGTGCGGGAGGAAGAGGGAGGCAATGGGTCACTAGAGGGGACAGGTTGCTTAGGAGCTGAAGAAGGCTGGCCTTAGGAAGCAAAGAGGAGGAGCTATGGACCCGAGGGTGGAACCAGCCAGGAACAGCTCAAATTAGTTCAACCAGAGTCCCAGTTTCTCCACCAGCAAAACCCAGGGCAGAAAGGGGCCCTGCCTCACCAGATTATTGTAAGAATTAGGAGATAGCATTGCCCCACAGCGCCTAGCTAGCTACCTGGCCACGCACATGCGCAGTCAGCGTTAGCTAGCCTGCTTTAGGGTTTTTGCCCCCAACTCGGGTTCTTGCCTGATGGGACGGCCAAACTGTCTTGTGTTTCCTTCGCATCTCTTCTGTCCTTCCTCGTTGACAGAAAGAACCTAGAAAGCAGACATGGTACTGACAACAGCTGACTATGCTGCTTCGCCCGCAGGCCCCTGACGTCATCAAAGGAATCACTCACATGCTGCAGCAGCGCCTCCTCGCCTACTGCCTTCATCAGGCCTTTGGTGTCCATCTGGCCCAAGCGCAGGATGTAGAGTGGGCGACCATCTTTGCGGGTGGGCGGAGACCAGCAAATAGAAGAGATATCTTTTAGGGGAGTGTTGGCAACAGGAATGGGTCAAAGCTATGCACAAGAACTTAACTTGCCTCTTAGGAGCAGAGGTCATGCTGAGGGTTTACCAAGGGACCAAGTACGCTTACTGTGCCTGCTTCGGACAGCACCTGGCCACCCCTTACGAAAACTGAACACAACGACACATTCAAAAATGGAGCAGGGAGCCTGAGTCAGATGTGTGGACACCTGCTCCATCTCAATACCTCTTCTGCCTAAAATTGAAATCAGTAGTTTCCTTATTTTTTTTCGTTTTGTTTTGTTTTGTTTTTAGGGTTGGGAAGATTGCTTAGTCAGTGCCCAGGTTCATGTCTTTTTGTTTGGTTTGGTTTGTTTTTAAGCCAGGCAGAGCCATGAATAGCGATGCATATGAGCAGTGGTGCATACCTTTAGTCCCAGCAGAAGGCAAAGACAGGTGGGTCTCTGTAAGTGTGAGGCCAGCTTGGTAGTGTGTAGCTGTAATACCAGTGCTGGGGAGTCAGAGACAGAAGGATCCCTGAGGCTTTCTGGCCATCCAGCCTAGTGTTATCTAATCATTGAGCTCCAGGTTCAGTGAGACACCCACACCAAACAATAAGGTTGTCTTCTTGTCTCCACACTCACACATGCACTGTGTGAGAGTTGTGCTCTGTGAAGCTACCTGAACCCTGAATGCCCAACCACGACTTCTGGGTTGGGCAAACAGGATATGGAGTTGGGTGCCTTTGAGCGTTTTGTCACATTTTTTGTCTCCCTATCACCAGATAGCCTTGCTTCCTGCATTCCTACCTAAGTACATTATAATACATACCATGGATTCACTTGACCTCAAAACCGGAAGCACTCTAACTCAGAGAACGGAACTTACTGAGCACAGTATCTTCTATAGGAGGTCCTGATGCAGGAGCCAGTGCTCCACCCTGTGCTCTAACTGGAACTTTTGTTTGTCTGTCCCTCATGTAGTACTAAGGTTGGGAGCCAGGGCCTCACGCAGGCAGGTGCCCAACTGCTAAGTCAATCTCCAACTCGATCTTCACTTTATGTTTTGAAACAGGGTCTCACTAAGTTCCCAGGCCAGCCTTGAACTGGGAACTCTAGCCAACAAATGCTTTAAACTTGCAATCCTCCTCCCTCAGCTACTGAAGTAGCTGGGATGTTAGGCCTGAACTACTAGGCAAACACAGCAAAATATTCAACAAAAAAAAAAAAATTTCAAAAATTGAGAGGTAGAGACATGGCTCAAGCAGTTTTAAAAAACACACTGTTCTTTCCGAGGTCCAGAATTCAGTTGCCAGCACCCACAGCAGGCAGCCACAACTGCCTATAACCTCAGTTCCAAGAGATTCAATGCTTCTTCTGACTTCTGTGGACACACACACACACACACACACACACACACACACACAACACAACACACACACACACACACACACACACACAGAGCATTCAAATGCACGTAAAAACAAATCTTTCCAAAACACAAAAATGTCACAAATAAGGCACAGGAAAAGGACACTTGTTTAGAATGAGGCAGATACAAGAAGATACATGAGCTGGAGAGATGGCTCAGTGGTTGGGAGCACTGGCTGCTCTTCCAGAGGACCTGGGGTTCAATCACAACACCCACCCACAAAGCAGTTCACAACTGTCTGTGGCTCCAGTTCCAGGGGACTCAATATCTTCTTTAGGTACACATGTGCTGCACAGACATACAGGCATGCAAAATATCCATTCATATACAATAAAGTTTAAGAAAAAAAGAAGACACAGCATGGGCTTGGCCAACCCTAATAGAGATACCATGTGCTAGATGACTCTGTGTGTGTGTGTGTGTGTGTGCTTGTGTGTGTGTGTGTGTTGTATGTTATGTGTGTAGAGGCCAGAGGTCAACATCAGATGTCATCCTCTATATCTTTTAATTAATAAATTTATTTGTCTATTTATTCTCTCCATAATGATTTTTTTGTTTTGTATTTGTTTGTCTTTCTTTCCTTTCCTTTTTTTGTTTGTTTGTTTGTTTGTTTGTTTTTGAGACAGGGTTTCTCTGTGTAACCCTGGCTATCCTAGAACTAGCTCTTGGAGATCAGGCTGGCCTCGAACTCAGAGATTCCCCTGCCTCTGCCTCCTGAGTGCTGAGATTAAAGGTGTGTGCAGCCACCACTCAGTGTTCATCATGTTTGTTTGTTTTTTAATGTGACAGCATCTCTTGTTAAACCTAGAGCTCACAAATTTGCCAAGATTGGCCAGTGAGCCACAGATAGCCTGCTGTCTCCACATCACAGACTACAAACACATGCAACTGCACCTGGCTCTCCAGTGGGTGCTGGAGATTGAACTCTGGGCCTCATCTTTCACAGCCAGAACTTTACTGACTGAACCATCTGCCCAACCCCTCAGAGCACCGAAAATTTTTACCATTCCACACATGTCTTTAAACAAACTCCTAGATTTGGGGATTTCAAAGTAGCAAGTAGGGAGAGTTCACAAATATGGAAGCCACGAATAAGAAGTCAACTACGTGTTCTTCAGGAGACCAAGCATTTGCCATTAGCAGCGTGTGCAGCATTTTTCATAAAAGATCTTAAAGAGCATAGCAGTCATTGGCTTTGTGGTGCTACACTTTTTAAATCTGGAAAGGGTACCTACAATAGGAAGAATAGTGCCCCCCCAAGAACTTATTGTGTCCACCAGAACCTTTAGATGGGATCTAGGTTGTAAACGGAGCTGCAGATGTCAATTAAGGACCTCAAGATAACATCAGGTTGGATGTAGTGGGGTGGGTTCTAAATGACCTAGGGTTCCTGTAAGGTGGCAGAGAGACCCACAGAGAAGACCATGTCAAGTGGGAGTGGAAATTGAGAAGGACCATCAAAAGCTGAAAGAGGCTGGGAAGGACTCCATTGATTTGTTTGTTTGCTTGCTTGCTTGCTTGCTTGTTTGTCTGTGAATGACAGGATCTCTAGCCAAGGCTGGCTTTGAACTTACTACATAGCTGAGAATAACCTTGAACTTCTGATCCTCCTGCCTTCACCTCCTGAGTGTTGGGATTTCAGATGTGTTCCACCAAACCCAGATCTGTGAAGTGCTGAGCATCCAAACTAAGATTTTGTGTGGGTAGGCAGCCCTCCACCAACTGAACCACATCCCTAGTCCTGCTGTCTTCTGATCTCAGACTTCCAACCTCCAGAGCTGGCATCTGTTGTTTTAGTACCAGCTTGCTAAGGCTACCTAAGTAAATCCATAATATATTGACGAGAGCGTGACGTGTGATGGCCCTGGAGCAGAAACACCTTCCCAAGACCAAAATCTATTCCTATTCCACCTTCTGCATAGCTGGGTAACATATCACAGTATCTCCAGATGCTCCAGAAATCCAAAAGGGAACTTGATGTGTCAGCATGGGGTGCATCATTTAGAGTGTCCTCAGCATTCACACACAGTTCAGGTGTGGGACGCACCTATGTCCTGGTAGTGCCAGCCTCCGGCATAGAACTCCTGCAGGGGAGCAGGAGGCTGCCAGGTCTGCAGAAGGTGATCCACCTGGTGCTGCTTCCGCCAGCTCAGGGACTGGCACAACATGTCCCGGGCCTTGTCCAGGTGGAAGTCTCGTGCCCGCAGAAAGCGCAGGATGTGCTCATCTTTAGGTATCTGAGAGACAGAAAAGAGAGAAGACCACAGAATGGTACTTCACCTTCAGACAAAGTGACAGAAATGAGATTCTACCTCATCTGCAAAACAGCTGGGGAAAGTAGCCCAAAGCAAGGGAGGGGGCGGGCCTGTGGTGAACAGCTGTGCACTAAGGCTGCCTAGCATCCCTCCCTGTTTGTCTTGAAAATAGCACCTTTCCTTGGAGTAACTCTGCCTCCTCTCCCCTCCCATTTCTACTCCTCCTCCTTTCCCAATATAACACCGCTGCAAAACCAGTCCTAGTACAAGCTGTCTTTTCTGGGGTTCTTCCTTTGAGCCAGATTCCATCCTAAGCGTTTGATGTGGACCTGTGTTTGTGATCCACATGACAGGAACAATGTCACCATTTTACATTTGCAGACATGGAAGCAGACAGGTCATACCATAGGCCAGCACTGAGCAACTCTCTTGCCTGGCCCCAGGGCTGGGGAGGGAAAAGTAGGCGATCCATGTTAAACAAGAAGTTCTGATTCAATAGAGCTGACAACAGAGTCCTGCTTGGGACTGAGGTATATGGTGGTGCACATGTTACTGGAGCTAGAGCTTAAAGGAGAAATCTAGACAATCTGAAATCACCCTTATTAATCATGCAACCCTTAGAAAAGGACAGTGTGTCCATGGTCAAATGAGCATGGTACTATATAGCTATAATTCTCTATTGTACCTGATCTCTCTCTCTCTCCTCTCTCTCTCTCTCTCTCTCTCTCTCTCTCTCTCTCTCCTCCCCTCCTCCTCTCTCCCCCTCCCCCACCCACCCCCCAACTATGCCCATGCCAGGGCCATTTCGAATTGTCATACCTGGATGGGACAAGGTACTGGCATCTACTGACTGGAGCCTAGGAATGCTACCAGGCACCCTACAACACACATAGTAAACACCTACTCCAAAGAACCCAAACATCACTAGCAGAAGTGTGGTCACATCCGTATGTGTAAAGGACAGATCAGAAAGATATAATACAAATGAATCAAAATGTAAATTTTTATTACCACTGATAGCATAAACTTGCTCATCTTTCCTCCCCACTGCCCTAGGCTGATCCCTGTCATTACAGCGCATGCCTCACACCCACCTTGCCTTTGTGAGTCTCCTGTAACCAGAGCCGAAGCTGGACCAGGCAACTCTCCTGCATGGGAGTGAGATGGCCCAGGCACCTCTCGATGTAGTCTGCATCCAGCTTGTCCCCTTGAGGGAGGAAAATGGGGGTTTCAGGTCAGAGGAAGAGAGGGGGGCATCCTCCTCTCCCTCCATTTTTCTTTTTTCTATTTTTTTTTTTGAGATGGGGGTCTCATGTCCTCCAGACTAGATTCAAATATACTGTATAGCAGAAGCTATCCTTGAACTCCTACACCTCCTGAGTGCTGGGCTACAGGTATGTGCCACCACATGTGGTGTCTTAGGGTTACTATTGCTGGGATAAAACACTGTGACCAAAGCAAATTGAGGAAGACAAGGTTTATTTGGCTTACACTTCCATGTCACTGTTCGTCGTAGAAGGAAGTAAGGAGAGTAACTCAAACAATGCAGGGGCATGGAGGCAGGAGCTGGTGCAGAGGCCATGGAAGGGTGTTGCTTCCTGGATGGTTGTTGCTCATCATGGCTTGCTTGGCCTGAGTTCTTGTAGAACCTTAGACCATCAGTCCAGGGGTGGCCCCACCCACAATGGGCTGGGTCCTCCCCCATCAATCACTAATTAAGAAAATCCCAACAGCCAGATCTTATAGAAGCATTTTCTCAATGGAGGTTCCCTCCTTTCAGGTAATTCTAGCTTGTGTCAAGTTGACATAAAACTAGCTAACACATCTGGTGACATGGGTCTTTACCACATGGCCTACACTCTGTGGGGGCCTCTCTACTTGCTAATAATTGAGCTCTGGAATGTGGTTCCTAGCCTAGCTGTGGAAACAGCCACAAGGGCTCCAAAATCATCTTTCTAAATGGCTACTTAGATGGTTTTGAAAACTTATGCTGGGCAAACCTGGACGTTACCCCTGGCAGGGACTTCTCTCCAGGTCTTGGCGTGGAGATGATTCTCACACTCCGTGCTGAGGTTCTAAAGACTGTCGACTCCCAACCTTTATTTTCCATTTTCAACATCATGTCATGAGCACTTTCTATACCAATAAAGACTGAACTGTGCCCAGACATGGTAGTGTACACCTATAAATTCAGCACTTGAGAGGTAGAGACAATAAGATTAAGAGTTAAAAATCAGTCTGAGATACATGAGATAATATCTCAAAATAAATGTATCTCAAAAATAAATAAATAAGGCCAGGCATGGTCCTAGGACTGTACTCAGGAGGTAGAGGCAGGCTGATCTCAATGAATTTGAGGCCAGCCTGATTTACATAGCAAGTTTTCAGTTAGCCCAGAGACACATGGTAAGACCCCGTCTCCAAAAATAAAACAAAATAAAATTATGCTGTTCTATGTATATAGTACATATATTTTTTCATCCTTGAGTACAAAAATGCACCACAATATTTGTAATTAAAACATATACATGTGCATATATATGCACGCACATGCAAGCCTAAGACAGGCATAGTGGTGCACACCTATAATCCCAACACTAGAGAGGAGAAGGCAGGCAGATCGGGAGTTCATGGTCACCCTCAGCTCCACAACAAATTCAAGGCCAGCCTGGGCATTTGAGACCCTGTTTTAAAACAACCAAAAAACTACGGGGTTGGTGAGATGGCTCATTAGGTAAAGGCATATGCTCCAAACCCAATGACCCAAGTTCGATCCTCAAAACCCATGGTGGAAGGAAAGAAATGACTCCCACAGTTGTCCTCTAGCCTCTACAAATGAGCACACACACACACACACACACACACACACACACACACACACACACACACACACTGAGTTCACATACTATATGATTTGTATTAAGTTCTAAAGTAGCTAAAATAGCCTGCATTGCACCTGTAAGCTCAAGGTCATCCTCAGCTATGTACCAAATCCAGGCCCAGCCTCTGTCTCAAACAATAATGATAATAATGAACCAGCATTAGCAAGTAAGACATGAAGGGTTCATACAGTACCATGAAATGTGAGGGTATGCATGCTATTCTTGCAACATTAGTGAGAAATTATGAAGTACAAACAGGATGCAGGACATGCTCCCACCTGTTCCATATTTTCTAAGTGTGAGTATGCATGTGTACATGTGTGTGGGGGGAGGGGTGCCCCTCATGTACCATATGCCCCTAGCTAGCTAGCTTCATGAAACACAAAACTATTAAAGATTCTAAAGAGAGGGAAGTAATCTTCATCCTTTTCTTTTGTGTGTGTCTGTGGGTTCATGTGTGTATAACAGACGCATGTGCATATGTGTACACATATGTAAAGGCCAATCTCAGGTGTGGTTCCTCAAGTACCATCTTCCTTGGTTTTGTCTGAGGCAGAATTTCTCACTGGCCTAGGGCTCTCCAGTTAGGACCAATTAGGCTCGGCTGACACCTCTCCAGTGCTAAGATTATGAGTGGGTGCCACTATGCCTGCTGGCTTTTTGTAGGGGGAGATGAATCCATGCAAGGCAAGCACTTTATTGACTGAACCAACCCCGCCAGCTATTACTTCTCACTTTCCATCTTCTAGTTCGTTTAGATATTTTGCTACCATGATCTTTCATTACTCATGCAACTAAAAATATCCTCGAACCACCAGAGGTCAGTTCCTGGTCTAGAAACAGATCAACTCTGAGAAGCAGAGGGAGGAGGCTGAGTGGGTGCTAGACTGTCCCCAAGCCTGGCAACCTACAGCACCTCTCCCTCCTCTCAGGGAGCCAGGCAGTGTGGCAGGCTTCCTAGAGCCAGAGGTGAGAGCACAGACTTGGACACTGGCTCTCTGAAGCCACCTACCATCAGCTGTGGCCATCTCAGGATCAGGGCCTGTGGCATCACTGGGACCATCTGTCTCCATGGAGCTGGGACACTGGTGCACAGCCTGATTGCGGGCATCTTCCTCCCGGACTGGGGCAGGCGTCCAGCGAGGAATGTGAGATGTTCCCTGGGAAATGAGCTCATTCAGGTAGTGCTCAATCACCTCTTTCCCCTGGAAGCAACAGACCCAAAGATGTCACCAAGCAATCAGCTCTGTGAGGACACTGCACCAGCTCTGAGGAACCACACATGCTCAGGTCCCAGCTCTGACTTATTGCACAGCTAAAACACAGCCAAAAGGAGTGGAGATGAGCAAGACTAAACACAGAACAAATGCAAATAGTTCAGTTTTGTATTGGTAACACATCAGGTTCATGTTCACCTGGTGAATAGGCCACTATCTGACCTGGAGTCTGAGGCCACTGAACCAAGCAGTGACTTTGTGATGTTACAAGTGAAACCCAATGTCTTCTACATGCTAGGCATGTGTTCTATTGCCCAACTACACCTCCAGTCCCTCACTGGAGGATTCTAGGGAGGTTTTTGTTTTACTGTTGAGCCACACTCTCAGTTCCTCACTGGTGGATTCCAGGCAGGTGTTACACCACTGAGTCACACCCACAGCCGCTTACTGGTGGATTCCAGGCAGTTGTTGCACCACTAAGTCATGCCCCTGACCTTAATGACATTTTTCTTTTTGTGATTTGGTTCTGGGGATTGAAGCCAGGGCCTCATATATGCTAGGCAAGTGCTCCACCACTGAGCTATGCCTGCAGTTATTTGTCTTGCTGAGTTGCCTAGGCTAACTTTGAACTTGCTCTGTAGCCCAGACTTGAACTAGGAGTGCTGAGACAATGTCAGGATGCCTCCAGTGCAAGCCAGTTCTTCCCACTAGTGACCTCACTGATACAGTCATGACTCGCTGTTTATTTTAGAAACAAGAAGACTGAGGCTCAGGAAAGTCAGGGCTGTAGCGCAGTGTCACAGGGGTTGTTGGTGGCAGAGAGAGCCTGTGCTCCTTCCTGTAGTGGCTAGCACAGCGCCCCCTCACCCTCTTGACATTGGCAGTGTACTGCTTCATGGCGATCTTCTCCAAGGTGCTTTCAAAGCCAAAGAAGGATCGGACATCCAGGGAGGCAGACTGTTCAAAGCAAGTCCAGTCTTCATTCTCAGGATGGACCTGCAAGATGAGAGGGGACCATGGCAGGGCCTCAGTATGGGGGTGCTGTGCCCTCTCCAGAGGCTATTCTAGCCACCAAAGCCTGCCATGGACAGCATTTCCCACCAGACAATGATGCAAAGTCTAAGCACAGGGAACAAAGAGCTCTTTCTCAAGCTGGGCATGGTGGTGCACACCTATAATCCCAGCACTGAGAGGCTGAGGCAAGACAATCAAATGCTCCAGGCCAGCCTGTTCTACAGAGTGAGTTCCAGGACAGTCAGGGCTATGTAGAGACCCTGTCTCAAAAAAAAGAAAGAAAGAAAGAAAGAAAGAAAGAAAGAAAGAAAGAAAATAACACACAAAGAGAGATAAAAATGTGTATGTGTAATGCTCAGATCATTTATATAATTATCAATATGTGTTTAGATATTATTTATATACAAAGATATTAAATATCCTTATATGTCCACAAATATATTTATATATGTCAGCAATTAAAAGCAATCTTAGCTGGTCATGGTGACACACACCTAATCCCAGCACTCAGGAGGCTGAGACAGAAGAATGGAAAGTTTCCAGGCTAGCTTGGACTATATAGTGACATTTGGTCTAAAACAAGGAGAGGGGAATAAAAACCACTCATAAGGGGCCAGGAGAATGTAGGGAGGGGAGACTGGAGGGACACACAGGGCTCAGCCTGGGACAGCATCAGGGGCACACATAGGCCCGGCAAGCTCACTGTGTAGCGGCAGTTCTCCTTCACTGTCACTCGGCTCGAGAAGGTCTCATTGTGCGCATCTATCAACAGTGTTCTCTCTCTCCAGTTCAGGACGTTTCTCTGAACGAAGACCACGTGCTCCACACCAGCAATCTGCAAAGAAGGAGCCCAAGGGAGAGGAGGTAGTCCGCAAGTCACCCACCCTGATTCCTGATCTCATCCCACACAGCCTGGGTCACCTTTAGCTAGGACTTCCAAGTTCCATCTCCTGTCTCTCTCTAACTTGGCCTGTGCCATCCCCATCTAGTAACAGACACCCTGCTCCCTCTGCCACCCAGTCCAACAAGAGACACCCAGCCTGGATGGGACGACTCCTGATCTCACCACTATCCACACCGGTTCAGGCCACGTCCAGCACTGAATTTAGGTCCCGTGGGCACACACTCAGCCTTTTCCAAAAACTTCCCACCCTCAGTGCTTTATACTGCCACCACCATCAAGCCAAAAGTTCCCCCACTCACGCACTTATCAGGGGTCCTTTGTCCTGCCACCGGACAGCCTGGCCCAACCCTCTCCCCAGTCCAACCACCTCCACCTCCCAAACCCTGAGACCTGCACCCCACTGTACATGCCTGGATTCTCACTTAGCTCTGGTTCCCAGACCCTGCGCCTGGGCTCCCTGGCTGCTAGTCCTCTCACATCTCAAGGCTCCAACGTCCCCATTCCGCGCAAGTGGACCTGTTCACACCCCGCACACCCAGATGCCCGGTGCTCACCTTCCGCAGCAGCCGCGGGGCGTCCACGCGCAGCCGGCAGCTCCGTTCCACCGTGTGCACAGCCCCATCTGCGCTTCTCCACTCGCCCAGGATTTCGCTACCCAGGAAAACAGGAATGAGAGGGCAAGTGGGGAAGCGCTTCTCGTAGGCCTGTGAACAGAGTCGAGCAACAGTGGACAGTGAGCGGGTATTTCCTTCCTAAGAGGGACTGTTCCTAGTCAGAAGCACCCTACCACAAAGACAACATGCATACCTTGACTCCTTTTCAGAGCAGTGATGCACACTTTTTGGGGGTTTTGTTTGTTTGTATTTGTTTTTTGGGGGGTGTTCTTTTGTTGTGTTTTGGTTTTGTGTTTTGTGTTGTTTTGTTTTTCTTTTTGTTTTTGTTTTGAGACGGGTTTCTCTGTGTATCTCTGGCTGTCCTAGAACTCACTTTGTAGACCAGGCTGGCCTCGAACTCACAGTGATCTTCCTGTCTTTGACACCCAAGTGCTAGATTTAAAGGCGTGCACCACCACCACCACCTGGCCAATAAATACTTTTTAAATTTTTCATTTATGCATTTTGATGACATTGGGGATCGAACCCAACCCGGCAAGCACTCGAACGCTGAGCTACATCCTCAGACCCCTTTGCTTTTTATTTTGAGACAGGTTCTCCCTAAATTGATCAGCTTGCCCTTGAACTCACTCTGAAGTCCAAAGCAGCCTCACAGCCTCCTCAGGCAAGGGCTACAGCCTGGACCAACACTAAAAGAAAAAAAATTTTTTTCTCAGAAAAGGTTCCTAAGCCTTTCTAACTTGGGCCAGGCAGAATGACTCCTGCACAAAAAAGCTTCTCCCAAAATAAGGGCTGTTCTGCCAACCACAAGACGTTCCTGGGAATATACCACCAACACTGGCATGAGCCATCCATGGAGGGGCTTCAAGAAGCATAACCCTCGCCGGGTGTTGGTGGCGCACGCCTTTAATCCCAGCACTCGGGAGGCAGAGGCAGGCAGATCTCTGTAAGTTCGAGGCCAGTCTGGTCTCCAGAGCAAGTGCCAGGATAGGCTCCAAAGCTACACAGAGAAACCCTGTCTAAAAAAAAAATCTCAAAAAAAAAAAAAAAAAAAAAAAAGAATAACCCTCAACCATCAGAGAAGTCTGGAAATTTGTATTAAGGGCATGGGACTCCAGATGTGCACATTAAGAAGGAATATTCCATATCATGTGCATGTATGTTTGTCCAGAAAATGTAATGAGAGTGGGGAGTGGGGATTCTCCACACAAGCTGTAATCTGGTCACCTACAACTCCATTACCGTTACCATATACAAAAGCCTATAGTCAGTGCTGGTGAGAACTAACTGTTGAGCGTCAAACGAAGTTACACAACTGCCCTGCAGGTGGGAGATAAAGACAAACATAGAGACAAAGAGAGAGATAGAGAAACTGATAAAATACAACACCCCTTGCTGATTAAAAACCACCAATAAACTGGAGCCACGTAGGAAAACCCCATAGTTAACTTCATACTCAAAGGCAAGAGACTGAATACTTTGCCCAGCAAGTTAGAAATAAGACTCAGGTGTGAGTCCTCACTTCTATTTAAAACTATAGTTCAGGTTCAGGCCAGGAATCCAGACTGAAAGGAAGTGAAACTATTTCTATTTATAGACTGCATTATCTTACATAAAGAAACCTTGAAATATCTCTCCCCCACCCTACACACACACACACACACACACACACACACACACACACATGAATTTAAGAAAGAATAGCTTGAAAGGTAAAGGCACTCCTCAACAAGCCTGATGACCTGAGTTTAATTCCCAAAACCTACATGGAAGAGAGAATCAACTCCCATATTCACATCACAGACATACACATAATAAATGGGGAAAGTTTAAGTAAAGAATGAAAGAAAGCTGGGTGGTGGTGATGCACACCTTTAATCTCAGCACTCGGAGGCAGAGGCAGGCAGATCTCTGTGAATCTGAGGCCAGCCTGGTCTACAAAGTGAGTTCCAGGACAGCCAGGACTGTTTCACAGAGAAACCCTGTCTCAAAAAAAGCAAAAATAAATAAATATTTTAAAAGAAAACAAAAAGATTAAACAAGGTTAAAATGAACCAGACATGGTTGCATACACCTATAATCCCAGCACTCAGTAGGCAGAGCCAGGAGAATCAACACAAATTCCAGGCCTGCTTGTTTTTTGTGAATTCCAGGCTACAAATAGCACTCTGTCTCAGGGGGAAAAAAAACAAAAACAAAAAACCTTGAGTGCACACCTGTAATCCCAGCACTTAGGAAATGGAGGCAGGAGGATAACCTTCTAGCATGTTCAAGGCTAGCCTGAGATACATGAGACCCAGTCTCAAAAATTATTAATTGATAGTTGAAAAATAAATATCTGATGCAAAAATGTATGTGAATATAGACATAAATTCAATTATAAATATTGCTAGCAAGTATTTACTGTATATGTGGAGAATATGTCTATATAATATGTGTCTATAACTATATAAGTGTGTGTAGAAATACATATTTTCTACATACAAACATATAAGTAGTCTAAATATGGTACTCATTTTACATGTGAATATATTTACCATAGTATATACATATGGATGGTTCAGAAGGATGGAACCCATTGCCTCATGTGTGCTAAGCTATGATCCCAGGCTTGTTATCAGGGGGTTTATTATTGTTTTTCCTTTTTTTTTTTTTTTGAGAGAGAGAATCTCATATAGCCCAGTCTGGCTTTGAATTCACTGTGTTTAGAGGATGAACTTGGACTTCTGATCTGCCTACTGGGATGATAGGTGTGTGCCGTCTGACTAGTATGATAATATCTTCTCTCTCTCTCTCTCTCTCTCTCTCTCTCTCTCTCTCTCTCTGTGTGTGTGTGTGTGTGTGTGTGTGTGTGTGTGTGTGTGTGTGTGTTATCATCCCATGGAATGCTTGTTTCAGTCATGATGAATGAGTGCCATACCTGGGTGCCAATTCTATCATGCATGAACTGTGTGAGACTTTAGGAAGGGCCCTTAGCCTCTCTGTGCCCACTGAAAAAGGTCACTATGAGAACTGAGTGGTGTGGTGCTAGAGGAGTAGCTGGGATCCTCCCTTCTGGTTGTTCAATATTAAGTTAGTTTCCACAACAATGAGCCGACCAAAGGCATGTCCCTGAGGCTGCTGTCCCTGAGGCTGCTGTCCCTGAGGCTGCTTCAGGCCCTGGACAGGTTGGGGGGCAGGGTGCCTCTTTCTGAGTACAGAGGTCCTTCCTGGGGTGTTAAACACATGAGGGTGGCTGAAGAGGACCCCAAGCTAATGATCCAGTGTTCAGATACAGCAACACTCTGCAGTTCTAGACGCTTCCAACCAGACTCGGCTCTTATCCTGGCACAGCACACATGCCCCAGACCTGGGTCCAACACAAACTCCAAAAATAGTGGCAGCATCTGAGGACAGTGACCTCCTCTCTGTCCCTCTAGCTCCTGGGAGGAAATGCCACCCGGGCCCTGAAGGGAGCACAAAAAGGTGCTAGAGGCCAGTGAAGCCATTCCTCCACTGGTGGCAGGCAGATATGGGCCCGCTGAGCAACCAGGCAAACATGACATCCCATCACTACTCTATGCGGGGTTTATCACCCGGGGCAAGGCACCCTGGGACTCCTGGCTTTGAGACAAAAGCATATTCACCCTGGCAGGAATGAAAGAAGACATTCTATAGAGACACTTGAGAGGGAAAGCCTCAACCTGACACAAAAAACTACAGATAACCAAGGATGCTGAGAGCAGGAGAAACAATCTTCCCAGGGCCACACCAATTGGTTATGGTTATCCAATGCCAATGGTCAGCCCTGGAAACATACACAGAAGTAACACAAGACTGACCAGGCTGTTTTATGTATTTAGGAATATACATGTACATACATATGTATAAACACTTAATGAAAAAAGGTCATGAATTTGAAAGGGAGCAAGGAAGGGTATATGAGAGGGTTTGGAGGGTAAGCTGTTTCCAGACAAGGTGGTGTCCAGAACACAATGACAGCCCACGGTGATAGGACAAGCTGGCTCCTTCTCAGGTACCAAATGCAGGAAAGAGGGTGGGGCTGGCTTAGACTGAGCAAAACAGCCACCATCTTCATCAAATCAGTGGTGCCTGCTTGCAGGAGTTGTCAGTACCAATTAGGCTGGTGTGCCTTTGACACATTCTCAAGGGCAGAGTGGAGAGGATCAGTAGCCCTACCTGAGTCCAACTGCTCCTTCTGCCACGTGTGTGCTATTCTGCCCTAAGTGCATGTGGAGGTCTCGGGTAATGCTAAAGAATGTTGTTTATAGTTTAACTGAAAGAAGGACTCCAGCTATGTAGCTGTGAGGAAGCCTTCATCCTCACTGCAGAGTCACCTTCCAGTTCGGTATCTTTGGGGTCATACACACTCCTATAAGCAATCCCTCACCCATGCTCTGTAAGTAAACCCAATGAACTCATCAGTTCCCCATATGGAACTTTGGCACAACGTTGAGACCTTATTGGGGGGGATAGATGTCATTTATATCTCCCCAGGGAAGGAATGCTCTCAACAGTAACAGATGTGGCATTTGGGAAGTGGGCAGAGAATGACCAGTGCACAAACCCAGGCAGACCTGGGTTCTGCTGCCTCCTAACTAAGGGACTTTGGGTAAGCCACTGGTCTTCTGAGAGCCTCCATTTATCCATTTCTAGAATGAGGTGGTTAAGTTCCTGTATCACCAGAGATCGGCAAGGATGTCTCTGATAGAGAATCAAGCAGGGCTATCACCACAGCAAGTCCAGGCTGTGCTCCTCTGGCTGTGAGCTCTCTCTTGTATCATCCTTGGAATGATGCCTTCTTTTGACTGATTAGGAAGCCAGAGATCACTAATTCACTGGCTTACTGATTCAGCCCAGGTCACACAGAATGAAATGATAAATTTGAACTTGAATCCAGAGAACCCAGCCCCCACTCTCCTCCAGGAATCCCTTGCTCAGCATTCACTCCTGTGGGAGGCTCAGAAACAGAACCAGACATTGTGCTCAGGGCCTGTCCAGCCACTCTTTCCCTTTTTTTGCCCTAAGTCTTTTGATTCTTGCCAGACCAAGGCTGTACCACCCCCTGCCTTGGACAACTGTCAAGTCCC